TCTCAAACAGGTTAGCTAGATGAAACGTTGTCCAGCACTCTGATGTTCTCTGGCGCCTCCAGGGGACACTTTGAAATGTACTGCTTTTGAAAGCTTCAGCGTTGTCAGTTTGTCTCGACAGTTTTATAGCTTTGAAGCCAACACGTACGTGTGTGTGTGTGTGTGTGTGTGTGTGTGGTAGTCTGCAGTCCAGATTTTTTAATGTCTGAAAATGTAGACAAAAAAAAATCAGACAATGTTTGACCAAAGATTTGGGCGAGTTCCTCTAGTCTTTGACACCATTTTTACTAAACGTTTGGAGAGTGGTAAACTTTTGGGCGAGTTCCTCTAGTCTTTGACACAATTTTTACTAAACGTTCGGAGAGTGGTAAACTTCATCTGTCACTGTGCGTTTCTGCAGCTGATAACAAAGCTAAAATTGAAGCTGAACCGTATCACACTGGCCGTCAGACGCAGCACCAATCAATAACTGTACATCCAAAGTCCATCAGACTCTCCAGAGGACCTCGTGTTAAAGGCCCCTCTGTCCTCGTGTGTGTGTGTGTGTGTGTATGCGTTTGTGTGAGACGATGCATGCCTGTGTGACTTCACGTGTGGGTGGACGCACATATGTTTTTAGAGTAAGAAAAAAAAAAAAAAGTAGCAGTTATTTTGGTCTGTGGCTCACCACAGCTCACACTCTCCTCTGTCTCCTCTCTGCTCATCTGACAGGGCCCCAGGAGGAGAAGAGGGTTCAGGAGGGTGACAGGCAGAGACACAAGGGAGCGAGACAGAGACAGATAAGGAGGAGGTAGGAGAGGTGAGGAGAAGGAGAAGGAGGAGGAGCAGAGAAAACTTTGTCAGACTTCAGAGAATTGGTGATACATCAGCAGAGAGTGGTTTAAGGCAGAATGACAAACCTCATTCATCACAGCTGCTGTATTAGTCAACGTTTTCCCCCCACAAATGTGCTTCTTGATGGACCGGAATTAAGGAAAGACAATGAGTTTGAATTGCTTACCACCTTAAGACAGTAGTTCCCAATCTTTTTTGGCTTGTGACCCCATTTTGACATCAGAAATATCTGGCAACCCAAAAGATATTTTTGTTTTCTTTCTAAAATTAGATTTAATTATATTATTTAAACTGAGTAGCCAGCTTAGAGCACAAAGTAACATTCTATTTTCTCTGATCACATGTACAGTAAGACGAGCTTGTCTTTACAAGGCTAAAAAATGAACTCTGAACAATCTATGAACCACTGAACTATGAGCTACTGCAGCACCTTCAACCGGCCACAGTGAAGATTTAAAAGACGACAGCGCTTCACTCTCAGCTTCTGTTTGTCATGTTTTGTGTATTATTTTCATGTATTATAATGTCTCACTCAGCTAATGTCACACAATAACCACAATAACAGGTACAACAACTATGTGCAACAGCAGCAGCTCCGATATCTTTATACGCTGCATTTCATTTGACCTCAATATATATTCATGAAAGAGAAATAATACAGTTGTTCAAGTGTTGTGCATGGGGTTTTTAAAAAATAATTAGTTGAATAAATGTTTATATAATAAACATATCAGGCTGAAAAACCTGTCTTAAAAGAAATTAAACAATAAAAACTATTGGTTAATTTGGTTTCAAACGACAGAGGATTAGAATTAAAAAATATATAATTGATTGTTTCATTTCATTCAGAGATGATCTAATTAAAAAAAACCCTAAACATAAACACTACAATCATCCATACAGTCATCAGTAACAACTACAAAAAAAAACAAAAAAAAACCCTCAGTGGTATGGAAACTTAAAAATACTGCCAAGCACAACATCTAAACCAACACATTCACACATAGGCAACTGAAGTGAACGCGGTGCTGACACCTCAGTGAGGCCACTGACAGACCGCAAACATTTCCATTGAGCTGACTCTCAAGCCTGTGTCTCCACTGAAGGATGTTTTTTGAGGTCAGTGTTTCTTTAAAAGACGCTCTCTCACACATACAGGGCTCTACAAGGAAAAAGAACCAAACCTCAGGCACAACACGCCCCGCTTCCAGAATTACCTTTGACTTAGACACGGTTTAGCCATTTTGCCGCTTTTCAAAAAAGGAAAAAAAGAGACCACCACCATAATAATGCACACGTGCACAAACACACACTCCAACAGGAAGAGTGTGGGTGTTTGGGAGCAGCTGCATGGAGAAGCATCAGACCCAGCTTCCTCCTGGTGCAGCGGCAACATCACTCCTCCTCCTCCTCCTCATCTTCTCTCTCTCCTTACATCTACTCAGTTTTCCCTTTTGTTTTTGTCTTTATCCAGACATCTTTGAGTCACAAACTCAACACTAGACTCCATTGCATCAGCAGGTTGTGGAAATTCACAAGACAAAGCTGTTGCAACGCAAGCTCTTTCTCTTTCAATCTCTTTCTCTGTGTGTATGTATGTGTGTGTGTGTGTGTGTCCTGTTTGGCCTCTTTCTTCCGAGCGGTGACACGTCAACGTTTCATGACCTGAAAGCCCAAAAAAAGTTGCAAAACACCTTCCTGTGTTCGATTCTAATCGAGGGCGTAGAGGTTCCGCTGGTGCAGCAGGTGCAGATGGACAGAGCAGATACTGAAGCTCAGACAGAGGGAGGAGAACACTTTAGGTTCTGAGCCACAGGTGTAAAAATGTCAAACTTTGATTGTTGTGCAATCACTGCTGCTGTGGTTTGATTATGAGGACAAACATCAACAAGTGTCAGGGTGAAAACAGAGATGAACATCTGACTCAAAGGCTGATAGAATTTTCCACTGTGTTGAATCTAGTCAGGTATGACTATCATTGCCCCACTCACCTCACCTCCCCTCCCACAACTTCACTCCAGCTGTCAGTTCTTATCAGTTATACCACAACCAATAATGTCACAGCCAGTACTTTAGCATATTAGCCTTTTCCTCTTGAGTCTCAACAAATGAAACAGTTGTTTTCAACATCGACTATATCATCACTGCTCTTTGCCTGCGGGTCTGAACATTTGTATTCCATGTTCCTCTGTGTGGAAAAACACAACTGCTGCTAACAGCTAAGGCTAATCAGAGTCATTTCATTGTGAATTCTGCATCACATTTTTCAAAACACCTGTCGAGTACAAATGATTTTTTGTTCATTTCCTACCACTGCTGCTCACATTAGCCATGCATGCTAATGTGCTAGCTGAGGGTGAAACACAGTGGCCCTATTTAATGGCAACAGCGGTGTGATCCATATTTTGTTTGTTCAGGAGATTTAGTTCAGTTCAAGTCCATAAGGAAGTGATCGTCACCTTTAGAGCTTAAAATAATATACAAATATACAAATAAACAAGTTTCCACAGATATTTATCTTTGTCCTACTGAGAAATGAATCTTCTGCTCAAAAGACTGTTTTATCTTATACATGATAAGACATATACACAAGACGACAACTTTACTTTTAGCAGAAAGGAAATGGGATCTAGAATGGACCAAACATGAAACCTCAAGATACTGTACGTGGCATACGCTCAAGTGCACAAGATTAAAAGAAATAATTAGGGTATATTTCTGGGCCTTCGGGGGCGCCATAGTTCACAGCACATCTCTAGTCAGTGGTGACTGCACTGGAGACATTCAGCAGTTATTTCTGCGTTTCCTGTGTGTCATGTGGTGGTAGCTGGAAACAGAGAGCACGGCTGACAACTCACAGGCTCCCAGGTGCAGAGTGTCATCGCATGGGCCGTCAGCCAGAAAGCCAGTGGGCCAGTTTGTAAGCCAACCAGGGACTGTAGCACGTGCTACCGCCCCCGTCCCCCCCTCTCA